AAGCTGGTACACATACTACAGCGCCCCTCCGGCTGCACAACAGAGCTTTCGGTCTCCTTTTCCAATGAACAGTGTTATTTTAGGAAATCTCCCAGACAAACGAGACTTCCTTAAAGCCCACCCTCCCTAGGGGGTCTTTGTTTTAGATTTAGATGCTACCAATTCTGGACCAAAGTCTTTAGGGCTTCCTCTTACAAATCAAGGGGACACACTGGGTGCTGGTCCAGGATGTGAAGCAGTGTAAGGGGCCCCACAGAGGTCCTGCCCACCTACCTGCCCCTCACAGGCTCTGAAAGCAGTGCCCGCTTCCAAAGTCTCCTATGGGATAGGGGTGGTCACAGCTGCAGGACCCATGAGAGCCTGCGGATCACTTCTCCCACCCACCGCCCAGGCATATGCTCTCTGAGGCATTTTCAGACAGGCTCTCTGAAGTCATCTCAGGAGACAACAAATGCTGTGCTTCTTCCTAACCGCTCTGGGTGAACCAGATGCACACACACACACACGCACACACACACGCAGAGTCCCCTGCTCCTCCCTTGCTCCAGCTTTGGGAAACAGCATCAGAACACAGGTAAGTCAGAGAGCAGGCTTCCCACATTCTGTCTTGGGCAGATCCTCAGCTAGACTGGAAGTGGCTCAACGCCCCTGGGAAGTACGTAGACAAGGCCCTTCCATATAAATACATATACATGAAGATATGTGTAAATGTATGTATATATGTGTAAATGTATGCATACATGTATACATTGATGTGCATACATATGTGTATATATAGCATATATATCGTCTCTCTCCCACATATATCATATATACATATCTATCTCTCTCCCTCTTCCTTCTAACTACACAAAGATAAGTTATAAAAGGAGGAACCCTTCCACTCACCATCAACTGCTCCTTTTCAAAATCCTGCCCACATCAGTGAAATCCAACATATTTAGCAGCCTGCTCTGCTTGGGCACCTGCCCACCAGCAGCGTCGCTGTGAGACGGGGAGGCAGTCCACAGCCCACCTCGCTGCCAACATGAGCTGCAAGTCTGGCAGCACCAGGCCCCCACTGTCCATCACTTGCAGGAGGGACTCAGGAAGATACTGGGCAAAATCAGGCGAGGTCAGACAGCAGCCCAACCCAAAGTTGGAGGCCTGGGAAGCACAGGCCCAAAGCCCAGGTATGTCATTTACTTTCCTGTCACTGGAACAAAATACCCAACACCCATAACTTAGAAGACAAAAGGCTTCTGTTGCCTTCCGTGGTCCAGGGGTTCTGTTCATGGGCTGCTGGCTCCCTGGCGGAAGGGCATAGCGGAGGAAAGCTGCTCACCTCATGGCAGCCTGGAAGCAGAGGGAGGACAGAGGAGGGAGCCATGAGTGCACCCCTCTGGGTCGCAGCCCTAGTGACCCACATCTTCCAGCCAGGCCCCACCTCCTCATAGCACCTTCAGCTATGAACACTTCAGTGGAGGAATCCCCCCATGATCACACCCTCCCTGGGACACAATCACCTTCCACATCTGTGAGGCTTTGGGGGGACACTTAGACCAAACCACAGCACCAAGCATACCCAGCCAATGGAGCGCAGAAAATATTCCCTTCCCAGCATCAAGGTGGAACTGAGGGCTGCCAACAAGGACAGCTCCTCTGTGAAGTGGCATTTGGTTCTAAGGCCTTAAGAGGCCTCCAGGACCAGCCATCCACCTGGCCACCTCAGTCCCCGGTCCCTCCAGACATACAAGCTGAGAGCATGTGGCTCGACGCTCCCATCGTGGCCTGGAGATCACCCCCAGAGCGGAAGGTGAGCATCTGTGCTCCTCTGGGGCAAGCTGCATTCTTTCCTGCAACCTGCCAATCTCACAGAATGGAGCCATTGCAGCTGTGGCTGCTGCCCTGCAGCCCATGGATCTGCAGAAGTTTCCAGAACTTGTCAAGAGCATCAGCCACCCCCAGAGGCACAGTGTGGAGCCCATCGCTGACGTGGTGAGGCCCATCTGTCCCTTTCTTGCAGTCCAGTCTGCACCACCAACTTTGAGTCTTGCTGCTGCCCACACACACCATGTATCTGCCCAACCTCCAGGTGGCCCAGTCTGCCAGGGTTCAAGATTCAGACAAGCCAGCAGAACTGTGGGGATTTGCCCAGCATTCAGTGCTAGGTGGACACTGACCTTGGACAGTCTTGGCCTATGCACATGCTCAAGAATAAATCTTGGGCCCAACCATCCCCAACTACAGCCACTGTCAATGACCTGACTCCCCAAAAAAGGCCACCACAAAGATCTACTGCTGCTGCAGGGTGGCTACCCTCTGTTGCCAGGACCTGTCACCTATCATAAGACCTCAGTCAGCCTTAGACAGGGATGGGCAGGGACCAGGACTCGTGGGGCTCGAGGTCTTGAGAACTGAGGCCACATCAGCTCTTTCACTATGGAACTTAGCAACTACTTTTGGTTCTTCTATAATTCCCCTCCATTTAAAAAAAAATCTGATTAAAATACTTAACAAAAGGATACATTTTGACCACTTCAAAAGCGTTATCCAGCAGCATTAAATTCAAAATACAAAATCCCCATCTCCCTTAATCTTCAGAACATTTTCTTTTCCCCAAATTGTACATTCATTGCTGAACGTTCTGTTAGAAGCTGGGGGCTGGCTAGACGTGGGTCACTGCGGGTGCTGACCTGGAAGGGCGGGCACATTCTTGTCCTTGGCCTCTCTCTCTCTCTCTCTCTCTCTCTCTCTCTCTCTCTCTCTCTCTCTCTCTGTTTTCTGGAAGTCATGGATTTAGCATCATGTCCTCCACTGGGCCCCTCTGCCATCTCACTTCTGCCTAGAAGCCAGCTGACCACGGACTAAAGCCATAGGCCAAAACAAATCTCTTCTCCCTTAACTTGTGGGTGTTGGGTATTTTGTCCCAGCAACAAAAAGTGGCCAACACAGATATAGATACCAAGAGTAGAGTCACCACTGTGGCTGTAGCTTTGTGGTTGAAAATCCTTTGGAACACATTTGTCAAAGGAGTTTCCAAAGGTTTGGAGATGCCAACTAGAGAAGCTCAGAAATGCTGAAAGTTAGTTTAATGGGAGATTCTGGTCAGAGCTCAGAAGACCAAAATAGAAATGCAGATGGTAAGCACCAGGCTCAGGAAGTTCAAGCTGAAAGCCTGGGCTCCATTGACAGCTGCAATACAGGCTTGTTTGTTACCTTCTGGCAGAAAATTTGTCTTCATTTTACCCACATCCCAAGAATTTGTGGGAGACTAAAATTGAGGGTGGTGGACTAATGAATCTGGCAGTGGAAATTTCAAAGCAGCCCAATGTTCAGGATGTAACATAGGTACTGGTGGCTGTTTTTAGCCAGATCTACAGTGAAAATCAGTATCAGAAAGCCCACGTGAAATGTTTGCAGCTTCATATGGAAGAAAGCACCTATAAGGTTAAGCCAAGTGAGTGAACAGTTCCTGAAAAAATGAGCCTTAAAATAAGCCAAGTGTTTTGCATCAAAACAGTAGCAAAAATGGCTCGACGGCATCTCAAGAATCAGCATTTGCCCTTCACAGGCTCAAAGGTACAAAACTATAAGCTTTCATTTGAGAAGAGAGCCCATGAACAGCCCTCTAAGGAAGTTGCCTACAAACTTGGTTACCCAAGATTCACTTCCTAATGCTCAGCAAGCCCAGCAGGGAGGTCTCTGCATCCATGACCTCAAAGGTCCTGACTACTGCTTGATATGTGGCATCAAACCTTTCCAACAACCACATGGTACTGATTTTATGGATATACATAAAGCAAGAACTGTGGTGTCAGGGAGGCTTCGAACATATTTCAGAAGAAGGCCTGAGAGGACAATGAATGGAACTGTTAGAGTGAAGCTGAAAGTACAGTGGAAACTCTATAGGTATATGGAGGTGCCAGAAACACGCAAAGCCCATTAAGGAAGCCACAGGCTATGAGCAGAGCCACCCTAAGAGAGAGTCTGTGTAGGAGCTGGCCAGATAGCTCAGTGGATTAAAACACCTGCTTAGGCAGATGCAGGGCCCAGGGTTTGATCCCCAGCGTGCCATGCCAGCCCCACCCTCGGGGCACACTGAGATGGTGAGTGAGACTGGGCATGGTGGCATGTGCCTGTAATCCCAGCACTTGTGAGCCTCAAAACAGGAGGGTCACTACAAGTACAATCTGTGTAGTAAGACCCTGTATACCCTGAACTAAATATATTGAGAGAGAGACAGAGAGACAGAGAGACAGAGAGACAGAGAGAGAGAGAGAGAGAGAGAGAGAGAGAGAGAGAGAGAGAACGCCACGTGGATTGCAACTGGCAGTGCCACAAGGGCGAGTTCGTCTCCCCACAGTTTGCCCAGGTACTGCGTACGGAGCTGCAGGACTTAACACTCGCCATGCTGGTTGCTGGTCTTCCTTCACCCCACTCCTTTCCACCCCTCTATGCTTCCTTCTTGGAATGGGAATATTAACCTTACACCATTCTATGTTGGAAGCATTTAACTTTCTTCTGTTTTAATTTTTACAGGGCTTCAACTAAAGGGTACGCCTTCAGTCTCAGATGAGATGCTTCAGCAGTGGCACCGGTAAGACTTCGGTGCCTTTTAGTGATGGACTAACTGCATTTGACCTAATTAAATGAACATGAGTTGTTGGAAGCTAGGGTGGAATATTAGGGTGTAGATCTAAAATGGCCTGGGAGTTTCCTGTGTTCGGAGGGTGCTTGGATCACCAAGAGGCACAGCCACTGGTGAATACAACTACTGAGCTCGAAAGCTGGGTGTCATGCCAGGAGGTGGGGCCCGCTGGAGGCGGGTCTCGGGGGCGTGACCCAGGAGGGCTGCTTCCTCCTCCCCCCTCTCTCAGCTTCCCGGATGTCAGGAGCTGAGTACCTCTGCCTGCACGGTGCCCTCGCCATGCTCCTTGTGCCTCAGAACCAGCTGAACGTGGTCTGAAGCCGTGAGCTCCTGAGTTGTGGGTATCAGGCATTTTGTCCCAGGGATGAGAAAGTGGCTCGGAGACCCTCGCTCTGCTAACCAGTCCAGACGACCCCCGACAGGCTTCCTGTGGCTGTCAGTTTGCCTGCTCTCGACCCCTCATAGGTGCCCTCGCCTTTTCCATCCCCCGGTCCCTGCTGCCTGGCCCTGGCTTCCGGCCACTCTCAGGTCCCTGCCCTCTCCACACTGTACCTCTGAGGGGCTTTTCCAAAGTGCAGGTCAACCAAGCCCCTAGCCCCGCGCCAAAGCTATTCCCTGCACCGTCCTTAGGTGCACACAGACACACTCCCTGTCGCTTCCTTCACCTCTCCCCACACCCACCCAGCCCACAGTCTCACCATCCAGCATGGCCCAGCCCTGCCCGCCCCCCCCCCCCGCTGTAATGGCCAAGTCCTCCCTGTGGCACCAGGTCCCACTTGTGCATCACCGTACATGCCACTCCCCCTGCCCGCAAGCTCTCCCGCTCCATGGTGCGACACCTCCTCCGACGCCCAGCACAGACGCCAGGAGAGAGCACCATGCCCCACCCCTGAACATCGGCATCTAAGGGTGGCTCCTCACCTGGACCACAACTCACTGCACACCTACCACTGGGCACTGTCCTCTACCCCATCTTGCCCAGCCCTGCACTGGCAACCCCTTGAGGAGCTGGTGGTGAGTGGTTGCTCAATAAATATTAAATGAAGGAATTAATGGACGAGGCCCTAATAACAACTAAAAGTGCACAGCCCCTCCCGGGGCCTGACCTGCTTTCTGAGCCCTCACCAGCTGCTTGGAAAGGGGCCTCAATTCCTCTGCTGTGCAAACTTTCATATCAGCGAGCCTCTGACTGCGGTGCTCTGGCAGCATGGAAGCCCCCGCAGGACAGCTGGCTCGGCCTTGGCACTGGAGGGCAGGCTGAGGGAGGCCCATCTCTCAGAGAAGAGCACATGCACTTTCACTACAGAGAGGATAGTGGCTGGGGAAGGCTGGAGCTTCCCTGGAGCCCGTGGATGAAGATGCCAGAGCACAGCGGGGCTGCGTTGGTGGTCTGTGGAGTTGCTGTATCAAGCTGTGCCTGAAGCTTCCAAATATTTTAGTTACTTGAGCCAACCAAGCCCCTTGATGTCGAGTTTTAGCTCTTTGCAACATAAGGAGTTCTGAGAAGAACAATATCTTTTGTGGGTACCTGAGGCCCGAGGACAGTCGGGCAATACAGGATTCAGTGAGTGGAGGGTACAGAGAGCAAGGCCTGGGCAGACCCAGACAGGGGCAGAGCGAGCAAGCTGGAAGCCCACTGCCTTCCTGGTCATCGCAGCAGCAAAGCCGCTCGGCTCAGCTGCTGTGAAGCCTGAGGCCATCACAGGACACGCTGAGGACCAGTCCCAGAGGCAAGGAGGGCTACTGGGGGCAGCAGGTATGGCTCAGCAGACACAGCCCATGAGGATGCTGGGGCGGATCCTTCCCTCTGGAGGACCCCAGAGGTGGAGAAATCCAAGGTGGAGCCAGGGCGGACGTGGGCCAGGGCAGCACATGGGTACCACTGGCTCACTGAGCTCAAAAAGTTCTGTGTTTACCTCCACTGCTGTGTTTGTGCGTCTGTGGACACAATGACTGGACCCGTGAGGATTTAGGAACTTCCTGTTGGTCACAGCAATAAAGCCACCACCTTCTCATGCTCAGTATTGTGGCCACAAGCAGCTATATACCCAGCAGGTGGGACATGCAGCATGGGACAGAGACAGCAGCTCACGGGGCCCCAGCTGCCCAGTGTGGGCAGGGTCTGCCCTGCACAAGCACTAAATAACCCCTGAGTCGTCCTTGGTATCAGACCCACTTTACAAAAGGACAAGCCTGAGGCCATGTTTGTCCCTGGTCACTAGCTCCCAGGGCCCGCAGAGGGGCACAAACCCAGCTCCAGGCTTCTCTCTTGAATATTTATTCCCTCCGCTGCCCTCAGTGCCACAGGTTCCAAGGCACCCTGCACTGAGTCCCTGCCTGAAGGGGTGGGGACCCAGGAAAGCAAGATCACAATAAGGACACTGACTGCAAATTGGGGCCACTGGACAGAGGAGCTCAGGCTCCTGCCCTGGCTGCCCTCAGGAGCCCTGCTGAGGACATTCTGTGGAGCTCAACCCTCCAGTGGCCGTGGGCTTCCTGCCGGTGCCCTCCTTCCACACACACAGCCCAGTGGGCTGCAAAGGGCTTCGGAGAGAGACTAGCCTCTCTGCCCTCGCATCCGACCGGCCAGTCTCCCCCGACCTAGAGCTCGCAGTGCCTGGAAGGCAAAAGAGCCCAGCGAGGTGGTCATGGGAGAGGAGCCAGGTGCCCACAGAGCAGCCATCTGCTCCACGGCCCAAGCCTGACGGCCACAAGCAGGACGAGAGCTGGCAGGCAGCAAGGACGAGGAGGGGAGGGCTGATGGGCGGGCAGTGTCCCCACCCTGCCAGGGCACATCCTGAAATCAGAGCAGGGGACACTGCGCAGCATGCCAGTGACCTGCAGACCAGGCCCAGAGGGGGAGGGCAGCTCAGCGTCCGAGTCATCTCCTTTCAAAGTCCCCGGCACAAAGCAGGCACAGCTGTGCGCCTCCGCGCAGAAAGGACAATCACCGGCATTCTGTCCCAATTGTGCCGACTCTCTCCCTTTTTAATGCAAAATATAGAAACATTACAAATAATATTGAAGTTCTCTGTGTGCCCTGGAGTGGGGCAGAGACCATCCGGGATGCACGTGGCTGTCACCACCCAACACCAGGGAAGGACAGCAGGCCTTGGAGCTCGCAGTGTGCGGGGTGTGAGGGTCTCACCTCCCACAACTCTGCACTCCTCCAGACAACACAAGCAAGGCTCGTCCCTGCAGCAAGCAAGGGGTACGGAGCGGCTGACACGCAGGTACCGCTGTCTGCAGAGACGAGACAGGTGAGCAACCCCACGGTGGGGGCACAGGCAGCTTCTCAGGTCCTCCCTACGGCCATTGCAGCCTCCCTCCTGCAGGGATCACGGGAGCCCTTGGTTCCAGATGGCGCTTGCATATGTCAGCCCCCCCCCAGGGAAAAGAGACCTTGACTCACTCGAGGGTGTGAGGACACCTCTCCCTGTTGGTCTCCTGGGACACTACACAGCAGCTGGCCCAGTCGTCCTGAGCTGCCCACCACAGCTGGAGCAGTAGCACTCCTGTGACTGCCTAGTGGCCAAGGGCTACATGGGTGAATCTGCAGACCAAAACAAATGGGAGTTCCCAGAGTAAGGTGCAGGGAAGGGTGCCAGTGGGCAGGGGCAGCAGAAGGCCCTGGGGTGAAGCTGGGTCAGGTATGCAGAGGCACCCCACGCACGGCCCCAACCACCATCAGAACCTCAGCACTTACCTGCACCAGCGCAGCACAACCTGCCTGCCGTCCTGCGGCCACTTCTGGAGCTTCCACACCTCACTGTCCCCTCCACAGTGACTCCACAAGCCGCACAACCACACTGTCCCCTCCACTGCATGTCCTGGGCCAAGTGAGCGGCATCTGAGAAGAGACACAAGGTCAGAAAGCAGAGCTGGGAGCAAAGACCACCCCTGGGCCCGTGTCATGGGGCACGAGCAGACAAGACCCAGAAGGAGCCATGTGTGGAGAAGCAGGTGGGCAGAGCACAGGGGCAGCACAGACGCAGGGTCCCGGCACAAAGCCAAGCCCACCGGGGCGGGTAGGGAGCGTGCGGGAACCAGGCCCAGCCCATCTCCCCCACGCCAGGCCCTAATCCTCGGGAAATGTAAGCTGAGCTGGGACAGGAGGCTGCACCCATTAAAATAAGGCTTGGCTGCAAGTCAGGAGGCCTAAAATAACTGAGGATTAAATGCACAAGAGTTTATTTTTTTTTTCAAGTAGAAGAGTTTGGGAGGCCAGCCACGGAGAGCTGCGGTGGCTGCTCCAGCACCACCGAGGATGGGCTCCTTCTATCTGCCTACCTTTCCTGTGTCTTCCACCCTGCACGTGGCCACCTGGTCTAGGGAGGTGTCTAGAGTTCCAGCCATCGCATCACTGGGATCAAGGAGAAGAACTCCACGTGCAAAGACAGCCCTGGGTGTCCCAGGCTTCAGCCACGGGACTGGCAGTGCCTCAGTGTGAGCACCCCACCCCTGCCAGGGATGAGAAGGGGCAGGACGAAGTCCGCCTGCAGAGCTCAGGAGGCAGTGTGTGCTCGGCTGACAGCCGCAGGAGCCTCGCTTGCAGAGCTCAGGAGCAAGCCTTGGAAGGATCGGATTGTCTGTCTCCAACTCACTTCACTGTGAATCAGAACCCAGCGCCACACATATGTATTTAAAGAAAGAGGTAAATCCCAGCACCTGCCAAAGTAAAACCACAAGGTCTGACATCCAATTAAAAATTACCAGCCACTGAAGAAGGACAAGATATCAGTCAAGGTAGGAAGGAAACTCAGTAGCCGGAGGTCTGGGAATGACCAGGTGGCAGAATGGGCGGAGCAGATGACAAAAGGGGCGATCAAGGAAATCACCATGGTGGAGAACAGGCAAGTAGGATATTTCTAAAGGTCAGATCAAGCTTCCAGGGTTAAAAAAAATTAACTGTGTGAAATGAAAAACACAACGGATGGAATAACAGCAGGGTACACATCGCAAACCGGAAAGATTAGTAAATATAAAGGGATGGCCACTGGGACTGCCCAAGGTGCAAAACACAAAGCGCTGTGAGACCACACCACGGGCCTAGCACATGTGCAGCGGCTTCCCCTGCAGTGAGGGGTGAAAGGACCAAAACGGAAGAAGGTGCTTGAAAAATGACTATGGTTTTTCTAAATTTAAGGAAAATTTTAAATCTACAGATTCAAGATCTCAATGGCAATAAGCAGAGAAAAGAAAAAGAAAAAATGTGACGACAATCACACCAACATACATCATGATCAAGCCCAGAAACCCAGGCAACAAGAGCCTAGACAGGCACGTGCAGACTTAAAGGCAAGAAGGACGGTAGATCA